AGTGTTCCTTCCTGACCTGAGCCACCGCGATACTCTAACCGGAGGAGACCCGCCACGAAGCCGATGGGTGTCAATGTGCTTTAAGAGCGCTTCTGAGAAAGGAATATGCTTGAGCTCTGATAAGGACTCCCCAGTACCAAATCGAATAAACTAACTTAGAAACTGGCAGCAACACCTGAGCAGAAAACGGGGCTCAGTTGTCGGAGCACAGTTCCAACGCCACTCGAATTTATTGCGGAGCAATAGCCTGAGTTCCAAATATCGGCACTGTGAGGAAGGATAAAGGGCTCTCCAACAACCCAATCGGGACAAAGCTTGATTTCGTTGTGGCTGACATGACCATCTCCCATAATGACAGTTTTTTAAAGAATGTTCCATAAACGGTCAAGATAAAATACCCTAAGGTAGAATAATATTACCGAAAAAAGACAAGGAAGATTGGAATGGTCATTTCGGGTCTAATAGCCGTCATCGGCCAGCCTCACGCAACCCGAGGCATTGCACCGCCCGAGGTTCACTTCTAAGCAACAAGTATCCGGCTCGAATCCTGGGCTGTACAAGAATTGGGTTTGGTAGATGGGCGCTTACCAATCGATAACGGAACTCCATAACCGGTTTTGCCTTGTAGCTTACTCTGGAGCCTCACCAATAGTCACACAGCGCCTAGTGAGATAGGCAGAAGTGCATTGCCGTTATAACCTTGAGTGAGCCTTCGTTGACACGGGTTATATTCCCGAGTTGCGTATCAGGAAGGGAACGCAGACAGGATAGCGGATAATAGTTAACTGTCACTGATTCTGTTTGTACATCAGCTCTATCTTCTGTGTGTCCGGCAGCTTGTCCTGTGTCCGTCAGCAGCGTGTGTTCTGTCGTCGGTCTCGTCTCGACAGCAGCAGGTCCCGGTAACAGATTCTCATGTCACGAGCACCAGAATGCCACCTCCAGTCGGTGACAGCGTATTTAAGGACCAACGGCCCTTGTTCTCTATTGGCCCCTCTGCAAGCAGCCATCATGGGAGTCCTCAGAATGACACGTCACGCCACTTTTAGGCACGCATTTGCATGCGTCCTTTCTTGCCATCTTGTCAGGCGTGACCTCAGAACTCGGCCGGCGGCTGTCCTTGCGTCCTAACGTGTCGGCTCTTTGAGGGTAGCGCTCTTGGCCCGTTTTTTATGCGCCCGCTGGCAGATGGGCTTACTTTGTTCTCTTGCCCTCAGAACGCCCGTGTGATGACTCGCGTGCTGGGCCCTCCTAACAATTACCGACTAAGACAAGGGAGACTGGGATGACAATTAATGGTTCATCAGTTGGCATCAGCTAGCCATTCGAAACCCCATTTATTGCAGCACCCCATCTGACGGATGGGCTTTAGGAAATCGTTAGCATAATGGTTTCCAGAGGTATTAAATCTTTACCAGTAGATACCTCTACACTCAATATAGTAGTCTTTTAGCATAACCAAGTAAAACTGTTACGCAAAATTTGATTCAGATAACACAAG